TGGGGGGAGATGTGGCTGCGACGAGCTATTCGGCGCTGGCGCAGGCGATGGCGCTGATCGCTGGCCGAGGGCGCTTGGGCGCGCTGCCGGCGGGTAGGGAGGGGCTCCGCTCACAGCCCCTCCGCCTCCAGGCGTGAGCTGTGAACAGGCGCGCTGCCGACGGACGGGCGGGCGTGGTTCGCAATCGAGACGCAGGACCAGCTTGCAGAGACGGTGAGGGAGGTGGCCGAGGCGACGCAGGAGGGGGAGCGGGAGGGGGGCGGGGCGGGCAGGCTTCCATGGCAGGTGCCATCTCCACAGATCTCCCCAGATCTCCCCCTATCTCGGGGCCAGCAGCCTCCAGCTCGCGCGAGATTGCCCGAGATCCGCCGAGATTGCCCGAGATCCGCCGAGACGGCCACTGCTCAGGTGCGGCTGGTATGCGCCTCCCCGCTGGCGGACCACACCTCCCCACCTCTCCCCACACCTCCCCACACCTCCCCACCTCTCCCCACCTCTCCCCACCTCTCCCCACCTCTCCCCACCTCTCCCCACCTCTCCCCACCTCTCCCCACCTCTCAGGTGCGGCTGGTGCGCGCCTCCTCGCTGGCCGACGTCTTGCCCGCCGCGGAGCAAGACGAGTCGAACCGGCTCCTCCTCGCAATCAGCGACGACGCCGCGCCGCTGCGGGCGGGCCCGCCCCCGCCCATGTCTCCCCATATCTCCCCATATCCCCCCCTAGCTCGGGCGGGCCCGCCACCCGGCCGCTCTTTGGCTCGCACGGGATGAAGAAACCAATCACCAGGCGCGCACACTGTCCAAAGAGCCCTTTGCCAGTGCCTCGCAGCACGGATGAGTGAATTGATGACAAGGCGTACACACTGTCCTCTGCCAGTGCCTCGCAGCACGGAGGAATGAATGATTGACCAGGCGGGCCCGTCGGCGTCCGGAGCTTCGCACAACTTCTCCATTGTGCCCGCCTCTCACCGCCGCCCACCCCACCCGCTGTGAACGGCGTCTCACAGGCCGAGCTGTGAACAGGTTCCCGTCTCTCCCGCCGTTCGCCCCGCGGCAGCGCCCGCGCCGCGCTTCACTCCGACCGACCCGCTGGTGCGCATCTCTCCCCATATCTCCCCATACCTCCCCATACCTCCCCATACCTCCCCATACCTCCCCATACCTCCCCATATCTCCGACCGACCCGCTGGTGCGCCCGGGAGCCGCTCATTGCTACGCCACTGCCAGTACTACGTGACTACTTGCACTACGCAACAACATGCACAACATGCACAACATGCACAACATGCACATGCACATGCGCATGCACATGCACATCACAACATGTACATGTGCATGCACATGCACATGTGTCGCCCTTTTAAGCACTCTGCATCGGTTGTTCCAGCCGTACTCACAACACTTGTGCTATCTGCAGTACCACCACGGCACTGCCCAGGTGCGCTCGGCGCCGCCGCTGCCGACGCTAGCGGCGCCGCTGGTGCAGTCGGCGATCCCGTTCATGCGCCTGTGAGCAGCGCCTCTTCACAGGCCGAGCTGTGAACAGGTGCAGTCGGCGATCTCGTTTATGTCTCGCTCCTCGCCGCGCTCGGCAAAGAGAGAAGGCGGGCTGGCAGGGAGGGATGCTGTGAACAGGTCTCGCTCCTCGACAGACTCTGACCGGAGCAGCGCTGACGGCGTGGCCGCCGAGGCGGCGCAGCAGGCGGACAGACAGAGAGACAGAGAGACAGAGAGACAGAGAGACGGAGAGACAGAGAGAGAGAGAGAGAGAGAGAGAGAGAGAGAGAGAGAGACAGAGAGAGAGACAGGGAGACAGAGAGACAGAGAAGGGCCTTGGCGCGCGCGCACACACACACACACACACACTGGTGGGTTAGGGAGGCCGCACAAATGCGAAGAAAGGCAAATAGGAGCACATAGACACACTGTAGTTGCCGGGCAGGTAGCGGGCTCGATCTCCCCAAATCTCCCCATATCTCCCCATATCTCCGGGCAGGTAGCGGGCTTGATCTCCCCATATCTCCCCATATCTCCCCGTATCTCCGGGCAGGTGGCGGGCTCGATCTCCCCAAATCTCCCCATATCTCCCCATATCTCCGGGCAGGTAGCGGGCTTGATCTCCCCAAATCTCCCCATATCTCCCCGTATCTCCGGGCAGGTGGCGGGCTCGATCTCCCCAAATCTCCCCATATCTCCCCATATCTCCGGGCAGGTAGCGGGCTTGATCTCCCCAAATCTCCCCATATCTCCCCGTATCTCCGGGCAGGTGGCGGGCTCGATCTCCCCAAATCTCCCCATATCTCCCCATATCTCCGGGCAGGTAGCGGGCTTGATCTCCCCAAATCTCCCCATATCTCCCCGTATCTCCGGGCAGGTGGCGGGCTCGATCTCCCCATATCTCCCCATATCTCCCCATATCTCCCCATATCTCCCCATATCTCCCCATATCTCCGGGCAGGTGGCGGGCTCGATCTCCCCATATCTCCCCATATCTCCCCATATCTCCGGGCAGGTGGCGGGCTCAATCTCCCCAAATCTCCCCATATCTCCCCGTATCTCCGGGCAGGTGGCGGGCTCGATCTCCCCATATCTCCCCATATCTCCCCGTATCTCCGGGCAGGTGGCGGGCTCGATCAATGCGCTCGGCGAGTCGGCGGACGCTGCCGTGGCCATGTCGATCGAGCTGCCGAAGGACGCGCGCGGCTCCATCGCCTACCTCATCAACGAGCCTACGCTGCCGACGGGCGCCGCGAGGGTGTGAGCGGCGCCTCTTCACACCTGCGTCTGTGAACAGGTGCCTGGCCACGACGGGCACGACGAGGCTGGCGATGGCTCGATGCCGCTTCTGGCGCTGCAGTCGCCGCCGCCCGCCGCGCGCCAGTCGGCCCTCTCCTCCGTGCTGAACACGCTCACTTCGCTGCCGTCGGCGCGCGTGAAGAACGTGCGCATCGAGGTGCAGCCGCCGTCGCCGCGCGCGCCCGCCTCGCCGGCGGGCGGGCTGGCCGCCCCCGCCACGCCCGGGTTCGTCAAGCTGCGGTCCGAGGCGGAGGGAGACGCGACGCCGCACGTGCAGCTGGTTGTCGAGACGGCGGTGCCCCTCTTCGGCTGGAGGCTGCTGGCCCCTTCCTTGTGAACAGCGTCTCTTCACACCTCTTGCTGTGAACAGGTGCCCCTCTTCGGCTGGAGGCTGCTGGCGTGGGCTACGCTGTCCTGCTACTCGGGGTGGACGCTCTCCAGCCTGCAGGGCCACGCCATCGCACCGCTGACCGGCTCGCGCCCCGCGTTTCCTTTGCATATGCTTCTTCTTCTGGAGCAGGCGACGCTTTCGCGGCGCTGGTCGGCTCCCCACCCCCGACGCTTCCTTGTCACACCTTTCTTTTTCTGGAGCAGGCGACGCCATCGCCGCGCTGACCGGCTCGGACGAGTCTCACGTCTTTCTGCGCTACGCGTGGCGCGCCATGTGCACCTCCCTCGTCGTTGCGCTGCTCGCCCTGCTGCGCAGCGAGGGGCGGGCCGGCCTTAAGTACTACTCCGTGCGAGCGGCGTCGTCCTCGTCAATACGAGTTTCACGTTTAATGGTCGCAGGCGGGCAGGCCTCCGGGCGCTGCCGTCGACGCCCCCTGCGCAGCTGCAGCTGCTCTGCGGCGCGAGCCTCTCGCTCTTTGCGATGAAGGCGGGCTGCCCCCCCCCCCCCCCCCCCCCCCGCACCCATGCCTCCACCAACGGGCTCATGACTCAATTCCTCCCGGTCCATTGTGAAGCGGTCACCCGCCACCCGCCCCCGCACCCATGCGCACCCATGCCTCCCCCAAAGGACGGAGTCTCCCTCTCTCAACCAGGCGGCCTGCTCCCGCACCTCCGTGGCGCACGGCGCCCTCTTCGTCTGACTGACGTACCCTACCAGCCCCGGTACCCGAACCCAAACGGACGAGAACAGGCGCCCTCTTCGACTCGATGTCGTCGAGCTGGTCCGTCGCGCTGCAGCTGGTCCTCGCCGCGCTCGGCCGCAGGTGTGATCTCGGGCGATCTCGGGTGATCTCGGGCAATCTCGGGCAATATCCGGTAATCTCGGGTATTCTCGGGCAATCTCGGGCAATCTCGGGCAGTCTCGGGCAATCTCGGGTAATCTCGCCGCGCCCGGCCGCAGAGCGCCCGTCCCCGCGCGAGACGGCCTTGGCGTGGTGCTGGGAGGGGTGGGCGTGGTGCTTTGTATCCTCGACGACACGGTGCGCCGCCCAAGGACCGTGGCATAGTTGATAGCCGCTCCCTTTCATTGCCTAGTACAATGTGTATTGACTACGTGGGCAGCGCGGAGATCGTGACCTCGGTGAGGAGGAGCTGGCTGTCGTGTGTCTACGGTGCGTGTGCTACGTAGGTGTACAACCCGGAGATCGTGCGGCGCATCATGGGCACGGACGGCGAGGACCGGCCCGCGGTGCCGCTCAAGGCGGACCTTCTGGCGGTCTTCACAGGGCTCGGCACCTGCCTCTACTTTCACTACGCCGGCCGGCTGCGCAACGAGATGGACCCGGCCGTCTTTTACGCGGCGGTGCAGCTCCTCCTCATGGGCCCCGTCCTTGTGAACAGCGTCTCTTCACACCTCTTGCTGTGAACAGGTGCAGCTCCTCCTCATCGGCCCCTTCCTTGTGAACAGCGTCCCTTCACACCTCTTGCTGTGAACAGGTGCAGCTCCTCCTCATCGGCCCCTTCCTGCTCGCCGCCCGCGTGCTCGACTCCGCGCCGCCGGAGCTGACGCTCGACCCGCTGCGCGGCGTCTTTGGGTGGGTCAAGGTTCTTATTAGTACTACTACCAAGTCGTTAACTCTCTTGGTTAGTTAGTTATTTACACGGCGTCTTTGGGTGGGCCAAGGTGGACACGACGCCGTCGACCGAGTCGAAGCCGGTGCCGCGGCTCCCACCCCCATATCTCCACACATCTCCCCACATCTCTCCCAAAATCTCCCGAAAGCTCCCCATATCTTCCCATATCTCTCCCCACCTCCCAAACTCTCCCAAACTCTCCCGCTGCCCCCCGCCGACTCGGCGTGAGCCCAGCAGTGCGCTCCTCACCAAGGCACGCTCCCACGAAGGTGCCTGGACTCCTCCGCATGCAGCTGGCGATGGCCGTGCTCGCCGACTACTCCGGCTCCGTCGCCTTCGTGGCGCTGCTCAAGCACGCGTCCGAGATGGCCCGAGATCACCCGAGATGACCCGAGATGACCCGAGATTAGGCGCTGCTCAAGTATGTGTCCGCCCTCGTGATAGGATTCCCCGAGATGACCCGAGATTAGGTACGTGTCTGCCCTCGTGCTGATGGCGACCGTGCTGCTCATCCCGATCGTCGCCGAGGCGGGGGAGAGGGGGGGGGAGGGGGAGAGGTGGGGGGGGATGGGGTGAGAGGGGGCGAGAGGGGGGGAGAGGGGAGAGAAGGGGAGAGAGGGGGAGAGAGGAGGAGAGATGGGGGGAGGGAGGAGGAGCGCATTGTTTCACTAGGCCGAGGCGTTCGCCTTTGGAGTCGAGACCCTCCCGACGCCACTCACCCTCCTCGGCGGTGCGCTCATCGTCGCCCGCTCCGAGAGTACCCCAGATTGCCCGAGGTTACGCGAGATCTGAGATTGCCGAGCTCAGGTGCGCTCATCATCGCCGGCTCCGGCCTCATCGTCGCCGAGGAGCAGATCCCCGCCCGAGATGAGCCGAGACTAGCCGAGATTGACCGAGATTGGCCGAGATTGGCCGAGATTGGCCGAGATTGACCGAGATCGACTCCGCGAGAGGAGCGGCTTCGGCACGTCCCGTCATCTCTCTCCTTCTCCTGCACTAGGCGCGGACACGCGAGATGACGGTCGACCTCGGGCCGGCGCCCGCACTAGATAGCCGCGATCACACCCAGCGCAAAGGTGCCCTATCCCTGTCCTGCAGCTGCCTGGTTCCGTCATCCGACGCAGATGGGTCTAGGCGCCTCACGTGCCGGTCAGCCCGATCGAGCCCGCGCCCGCGACGCCGCAGCCCACGCAACCCAGCTCGACGCTCGCGTCCGGAGGCAGGGGCGGCAAGATGGGCTGGCCGAAGCCCGCGCCGAAGCCGCCCCGTGCGCCGCTGCCGGCCATTCCCAGCGAGTCGCTGCTGCCGCAGTATGCAAAGTCGCCACAGCCGCCGCGCGCCGCTAGAACGTAGAAAGCGCGGACGCGTCGTCGCCGTGTTTAAATAGATAGCAGGTAAAGAAAAAACAGGTCGACGGCTCGTGCTAGTCCCCGATTCGACATTCGTGAGCTGAGGACGACCCCGGAGCTAAAGTTAGTACCAGGTATGGCTTTAGTCGCCGACCTCGACCGTACCCCCAAAGACATGCAGCTACACGTGTAGGCGCGAGCCTTACTTACTCGAGATAAGCGCCCAGACACGAAGACACGTCTCGGGGCTACCTCGTACCTGGACGCAGACGCGCATCCTCATGCGTGGGCGCTCTACCTCGACACCGGGCCTCGACACCTCGACACCAGGGCTCAGGCGACAGGGACACTCAGCTCAAGCCCGCGGCGCGCCTGGCCCACTTCAAGGGCGGCCAGGGGGTGGTGACGGTGACCCACGGGCTGCCTGCACGGCGTTCACTCGAACGCCATGCACATGGCGCGGAGCAGCATCGGGTTGGTGTCGAACCCGAGCGGGTCCTCCTCACAATCCCGGCGCCCACCCTCCGCGTCGTCCTGCTCATCGTGCGCGTCGAGCACCCTGCCGAGGCACAGGATCGTCCCCTTGGGAACGCCTGCCCCTCGCGCGCGCGGGAACTCTCCCTGCACCGCCGTCACGAACTTCTCGCGCGCCCACTTGCCGCCACGGCGGCAGTGCTGGGGCGCGCGCTCGCGCAGCTCCTCGTAGAGCTCCTCGGCCCTCGCCACCTCCGCCGCCCAGCCCTCCGCCGACGCCTGTGCCGACTTCTTCTCCCTGAGCGTCTTGAACACCGGCGGCGCCGCCGGCGATGGCGCCAGCACCGCCGGCTGCCTCGCCCGCCGCCTCTGCAGCGCGCCGCCCCTTCCTCGCCTTCTCCTTGAGCCGCTTCCTAGCGCTCTTGGTCAACGCGGCGCCGCCGCACCGGCGATGGATGTCGAGGATGGCGAAGATGAAGCCGTTGTCGCGTTGCAAGCGGGGCGGAGAGAGTCGACAGAAGAAGTGACGCTGTCCGTTGTCCCAGCGCAGCCTGGCGCAGGCGCCAGGCCGCACAGGGGCGCGGCCAATGCCATAACTGCCATAGGCAATGCCGCAGCCTCCCCGACGCAAATTTGCCCTGTGCAGGTGAGCGGACCGCTGCAGCCATGGAGCCGCGGGTCGGGTGAGGGAATGACCTTTTGGCGCGGCGCTGCTATGTGCCTGCGCGCTCATGGCGCGTTCAGGGGTGCGCCTGAGGCGTCTAGACTGCGGGGCGCCGCGATAGCGCGGCGCCGACGATCGGCCCGAACAGGTCGAAGCCGGTCCCGCCATCGCCGCCGGCGCCGTCGCCCTCGTCCGCCTCGGAGGCGGAGGTCGTCGAGCGGGGCGTCTCGCCCGTCGCGAACCTGCCGCCGAACACGGCGTCGGCCGGCGCCGAGGCGCCGGCAGCCGTGATCAGGTCGGCGACCTGCCCCAGGCCGCATCAATTTTGCCGCCCCGGGACGGCTCGTAAGTAGGTGCGGGGAGAGTAGGCGTCTTTCGCAGGATAAAAAGCATTTTCCCCCCATCCAATGGCAACGGCGCACAACCGCTCAGGGTGCCCCGTGCACGTGGGTCGCCGCCCCCCTCCACCGCCGGTACACCTCCTCGTACATCGTCCACAGCAGCGCCGTCTGCAGCGACCGCTTGACCAGCCGCGGGCCGATGCCCGCCAGCAGCGCCCTGAGCTGCATGCCCTGCGTGCCGGCGCCGCCACCCGGCAGGTCGAGCATCGCGCGCCTACGCTTGGGACACCGCAACTCCCTCCCTCCCCCTCCCTTGGAAGCCCGGACAGAGGCGCTGAATACGCCACCATCAGAGGGGGGGGGGGGGAGATGCGGCACCGTGCAGTGTCGTCAGAGCGCCGCGTGAGTACGAGCGAGGCGGAGTAAGTGATGCACGGCGAATCGCAGTGGGCACAAGCGTAGTGCGGCCGGCAGACGTGTCTTCTCGAGCGCTGGTTGGGACACAATGAACACGTATCCCGCTTCTAGGCTGCCGCGCGTGCGCAGGACGTCGAAGGGCTGAGTAGCCTAGAAGCGGAATATCTCCCCTCATCTCACCGCATCCCCCCCCCCCCTCTGGCAGCGCGTCGAAGGGCTGGGTAGAGCCAGCGTGGCGAGGGCCGAGGCGACGCCGCCCGCCGCAAAGTTGGTCGCGGGCGAGGAGGGCGAGGAGGCGGGCCTTCGCCGCGCGATCTCGGCCTAGTGTCGCCGTGTGAGTGAGCGGTAGCCCGACATCCTTGATCGAGAGAGGCGGGGGAGGCAGAGCTCTCCCGAGATTGGCCGAGATTGATCATCATTTGATGCAGCATCGACTGACAGGCGGGGCGTGGCGGCCCTAACCCTATCCCTAACCCTAACCCTATCCCTAACCCTAACCCTATCCCTAACCCTATCCCTAACCCTATCCCTAACCCTAGCCCTAGCCCTAACCCTACCTTGGCCGATTCACTCGGGTGTACCTCGGCTAGATCTCGGCTGTATCTCGGCCATATCTCCGCCGGCCTGCAGGCGCGAGTAGCACGCGTAGTGCACAGCGGAGAAGGGTGCGTTCGCACCGAGGGCCGGAAGCACGCCTCGCAAGACGAGGGGAGGGGTGGTGAACTCGTAAGTACTGCTCACCTGTCAGTGAGCCACTGACCAGCTCTGCCTCGCAAGAGCAGACGGGACTGCATGCTGGGGGTCGTGCAGGGAGTGGTGAGCCGGTAGTAGTGCGGGGCAGGGGGAGGGGAGGCGTACCGATTCGGGCGGCACGACTCGCCACACGACAACACGACAGTGATAAATAATACAGCCACATAGTAATGAGACAATGGGAAATAGCATACTCACTACTACTCGGGGTGGCACGCCCCGCCTCATAATACCGCATGATCTAACGATACTCGGGCGGCACGCCTCGCCACAGCGCCCTCACCCCCTCGCGCCTTGAGATCGAGGCGAGCGCCTCCGGGACGGAGGCGTACGAGAAGCGAGAGGCCGCGGCGCCGCTCGCCTGCAGGACAGCTCCACGACACTTCCGAGACGCCTCCGAGACGCCTCCGAGACGCCTCCGAGGCACTTCTGAGGCGCTTCTGAGACACTTCGGAGACACTTTCGGAGACACTTCCGAGACAGATCTGTGAGCCGTCCGATGGGAACGCGCGAGTCTAGCAGGGGTGTCGGGAGTCTCTGAAGTGTCCGACCTGCGTCTCGGACGTGTCTCGGAAGTGTCTCGGAAGTGTCTCGGAATCGTCTCGGAAGTGCCTTGGGAGCGTCTTGGGAGTGGAAGGTTCTCTGTCTCGAAAGCGCCGCCTCGCCTCCATCCGCGTCTTGACGGTCGTGAGCGGGCACATCGCGAACACCGCCACGGCGCGCGCCGTCCCACCCATCGCCGCATCACCGACCCACTGAGGCCGCTGTCCGCTCCCGCCAGCCGCGGCACCGCGTAGCAGCTGCAGCGAGAAGAAGTGGAGACCGGCCCCACCGCCGACTCGGAGCACGGTCGCCGTGGAGCCTCGCCAGAGGCTGCTCACGCCGTGGCCTTCGGCGGCGATGGCGCGGAGCGTCGCGCCGACCGGCCTGGCAGTGCCCGTGGTCGCGTCCGCCTGCAGCCGCGTCCGGAGCGTGTCGAACGGCTGGAGCACCGCCGAGACGGAGGCGCCAGCCACGGATCCGGCGGCGGCGGAGCGAGCAGCGTCGGCGATGCGCGAGTGGGAGGGTGGAGCTGCAGCCATGCCTTGGCGCAAAAGAATTCAACGAAGCGGAGTCTCTCTCACAGCACACAGGTGTTCCGAGGGCAAGGGAGAGGGGCTGGCTCCTAGCCCGAGAGGAGAGCTTCCGAGACCCACTACAAGACCACGCACTCATCATCCCGCGGCCTGGCGGTCGGCGGGATTGCAACCAGTCTTCGCGTGCCGCCTGTCGTTCGCTCGGGCGCCTTGGGCGTCGGGGTGGCGAGCAGGGGACGCAGCTCTGAGCGCCCAGCGACGCGTGCCGGATGGAGTCCGGCCGCGGGTGACTAGGGAAGTTCGCTCAGGATGTGTGGCAGTCAGTTCGGCTGCGCCCGCCCTCCCGCCCATCCGCCCTCCCGCCCGCCACCCGCCCACCCAACCACCCACGCCCGTCAACACCACCACAACCATACATAGGCGCTCGATACCCCCTCTCGCTGCCTACTCGCTGCCTCTGGGGAGGAGGGGAAGACGTAGGGCGCGCGCCACTGCGCTCGCCGTAACCGAGGCCCCTCCCCGAAAGGCAAGTCTTAGACCCATGAAATCCGAGACCCCTCCCCCCCGCCCCGATCCCCCCACCCCCTTGCTCCCCTCCCCCCCCCGGGAGGGCCGAACTGAGGCGCCCGTGGGGACCCCGCAATTCCCTTCCCCCCTCGGAGGGGGCCGGACGGAGGCGTACCCCGTGGGCCCCGCTCTTTCCTTCGCATAGCGGCCACTCTTCGGATCGCTGGTCGAGCGACCCGGGGGATGCCCCGCGCGCCTGACCCAGGCGCGAAAACGAATCTGCGAGGCGAGGCCGCTCACGCGGCCCGATGGGGAGGAACGGGGCGAGCCCCCTCCAACCCACCCGCGCTAGGTCTCGGGGGACGAAGGGGTCACACCCGACGACCTCGGGAACTAGCCGGGGCAGTCGGAGAAGTGGCAACTCCGTGCACTGACGGTCGGCCGCCAGAAAACACGCCTCCGTGGCTCGGGTTACACCAATCCTCGCTACCCAACGCGGCCAAAGGATATCCACCTCGAGAACCTCGAGAGGAGGGGCCCCTGGCAGAGACCGCCGACTTTGGGAAGGAGGAGCCACAGAGGCGCGCACAAGCCACAGCCGCCACACGTCGAGGCGCACTGACGAGCCCTGGCGCCATGATCCGCCAAGGCTACGGCACGCCGACGCTGGCGAAGCCTTCCAAGGAGTTTGTCAAGCACAAGCGGCAGTCTCTCTCGCCCGAAAACCGGCAGAGCTCTGCGTTCTCGCCGCCGTCGCGCGGGCTCGGACGAGCCTCGAAGGTGCCTCCGCCTAAGTCGCCTCACGGCGGTGAGGCCGCTATCTTCTCACGCAGCGTCTCACGCGGCGGGGAAATCGCCGCAAATGCCGCCGAGAGCGCCGGGTGCAACAACATCCCCGGGCTCAAGGGCATGATCAATGACATCTTCGACGCGGCCGACACAAACAAGGACGGCCGGGTCGACATCGACGAGAGCTACGTCCTCATCCTCAAGCTCTACATCAAGGTTTTACCAACCACGAGCCCTGCCGCCTCCCTCGCCACCTCCGCCGTCGCCACCTCTCCGCCGTTGCCACCTCCGCCGACACCGCAGTCAGCGTCGCCACCGCTGCCGCCTCCCTCGCCTCCCTCGCCTCCCTCGCCTCCCTCGCCTCCCTCGTCTACCGCGCCTCCCTCGCCTCCCTCGCCACCGCCTCCCTTGCTGCCAGCACGCGCGCTCAGCGCCGCCGCCGCCCTCGCCTCCCTCGCCACCACATCCCTTGCTGCCAGCACGCGCGCTCAGCGCCGCCGCCTCCCTGGCGCAGGTGAACCGGCAGGCTCCCGTCAACCCTCCGAGCCGCGAGGTGAGACCCTCCTCCTCCTCCTCCTCCTCCTCCTCTCCTCCCCTCCTCCTCCTCCTCCTCCTCCTCCTCCTTTCCTCCTCCTCCTCCTCTTCCTCCTCCTCCTCCTCCTCCTCCTCCTCCTCCTCCCCCTCTCCTCCTCCTCCTCCTCCTCCTCCTCCTCCTCTTCTCCTCCCTGCTGCCACTTTCCTCCCCTGCCGGCTCTCCTGCAGCCTCTTCTCTCCCTACCGCCTCTCTCCTCCCCGCCTCTCTCCTGCCCGCCGCCTCGGTGCCTCCCCGCCACACAACTCCATGCCATGCACCAGATCACCAGCCACCGCGCGGCCAGAGTAGTAATTAACAGGTCTCCAAAGTCCTCGTGGCCACAGCTTAGTTGACGGATGAACGAGTTCACAGGTCTCCGAAGTGCTCTTCCGCGCTGCAGACAACGACGGCAGCGGCCGGCTCAACAAGGCGGAGCTCCTAGACACTCCCTAGACACTTCCTAGTTAATGTTCTCAACAAGGCGGAGCGCCTAGACACTCCCTAGACACCTCCTAGTTCATGTTCTCAACAAGGCGGAGCGCCTAGACACTCCCTAGACACCTCCTAGTTCATGTTCTCAACAAGGCGGAGCTCCTCGCGCCGGCGTCGTCTCATGCTCTGGTCGCTCAGGCCACGCCCCATCGACTGCCGTAGGAGGAGTTCCTCGAGCTCGCGACGACGCTGCTGGGCCGCGCAGGCGCGTGCGCCCCTCTCGCCGAGCGCGTGCGAGGCCGCGTGTGAACGGCGCCTCTTCACGGCTGCTGCACGCCTGTGAGCAGGCCTGCGCGTCGCCGCGTACAAGGCAATCACCCTCTTGGCGGTGCGAGACATGCCGCGAGCCATGCAGCAAGCTTGCTGCCGACGGCGGCCTTCACCCCCCCCCCCCCCCCCTTCCCCTTCCCGCCCGTGCGGTCAGGCGCCGTTTCTGGGCGCCTATTTGGCCGCCATGGCCTGCCGCAGCTACGCCGCCGCGCCGGGCGGACCCTAGGGGGGGGTCGGCCGGTGTCAAGGAGCTCATTAGTTAACAGGTATTGAATAATTAATCAACAGGCGGCGGAGGGGGGCCGCGGCCGTTGTGGGCTGCGTCCGTCGACGGGTTGCTTGCGGGGCTTGGGTCGGTGCTGCCTGACTCCGCGGAGGCGGCGGTCTTTAGCGAGGCGCGAGATAGAGCCGAGAGATGGCGGAGATATGGCCGAGATATGGGGAGATATGGCGGCGGTCTTTAGCGAGGCGCGAGATAGAGCCGAGAGATGGCGGAGATATGGCCGAGATATGGGGAGATATGGCGGCGGTCTTTAGCGAGGCGCCTCTACTGCGCTGGGCGCGCTGGCGGAAGCCGTTGCTGCGCGAGTTTGCTAACGTCGCACGGTCCCTCGGTGTTAGGACTTCCTCCGCACGCTGCTGATGATCGCCTTCATCGCGACGCTCGGCACGAGACGTAGCCGAGACATAGCCGGGAGATGGGGGGAGATGACGCCTTCCGTGCTGGCCTTCTGCTCCGTGGAGGAGGCCTCGTCACTAGCCAGTGGCCGTGACCTGCCCAGGCAAGACAACTCTCGCCGCCTTCGACTCGCTCCTAAACTTCTTTGCCCGCCGCGAGGCGAGCACTTCCTAGACGCCTCCCAGACACCTCCCAGACACCTCCTAGACCCCTCCTAGACACCTCCTAGACACCTCCTAGTCACTACTAACGTATTGACTAATGAATGAGCTAGGCGGACGAGTCCGAGCCGCCCGCGACGATGAAGGACGCGCTGGTACGCCGCCGTAGAAATGCCCTTTGCTCCGGACCCCCCCCCCCCCT